AACCAAATGTTTTGAGTATATATGAAGGAAGGCCAATTGCATTGTGAACACCAACCAACATTGAGATTTTATCAAACAAGTCTGTCAATATAAAATTCTTTCATTTTATACTAGTCAGCTTACACAGTAAGCATTAACTTGCTCTATTAATGATTGGGGTTGACTACTTATAGAAAAAACTTAAATTAACACTTTTAAAAAATGAAAGTGGAAGTTTATTTTTCTTGTCATGTAAAACAAGTCCAGAGGCAGGAACTCTAGGTTTGGAAAGTAGGTTTTAGGGATGGAAGGCATGTAGGTTTCCTCTCCTACCTACTTTGTCAGCATTAGCTTATGGCCTCTATCATGGAGATTACCTCATGGTCTAAAATGTGCTGCTAAAGTTACATTTATCACATCTGAAATTCAGGGACTAGGAAGGAAAAAGGAGGGAATACAGGTGCCTATCACCAAGCTACATCAACTTCCTTTATCAGCCTTTCTAGAAGTTCTTGCAATACTTACATGAAAATATCTTTGTCTAGAACTTCATCAAATGGTTTTACCTAACTGTACAGAAGGTTGGGAAATGGATTTTGGGGGGCACATTTTTTTGTGGTACCAGGGCTTGAACTCAGGGCCTATATCTTGAGACAGCAGTCTGTTATATATATATATATGCATTTTATAAATATATATATTAGATATTTTTGAGATAGGGTCTCATGAACTATTTGCTCTGGTTGGCTTCAAACTGTGATCCTCCTGATTTCTGACTCCTGAATAGCTAGGATTACAGGCATGAGCCACCATTGCCCAGCATGGGCACATTTTTTTTTTTTGAGTTTTTTTTTCATTTTTCTTTTATTATTCATATGTGCATACAAGGCTTGGTTCATTTCTCCCCCCTGCCCCCACCCCCTCCCTTACCACCCACTCCGCCCCCTCCCTCTCCCCCCCTCAATACCCAGCAGAAACTATTTTGCCCTTATTTCTAATTTTGTTGTAGAGAGAGTATAAGCAATAATAGGAAGGAACAAGGGTTTTTGCTGGTTGAGATAAGGATAGCTATACAGGGCATTGACTCACATTGATTTCCTGTGCATGGGTGTTACCTTCTAGGTTAATTCATTTTGATCTCACCTTTTCTCTAGTACCTGTTCCCCTTTTCCTATTGGCCTCAGTTGCTTTAAGGTATCGGCTTTAGTTTCTCTGCGTTAAGGGCAACAAATGCTAGCTAGTTTTTTAGGTGTCTTACCTATCCTCACCCCTCCCTTGTGTGCTCTTGCTTTTATCATGATGGGCACATTATTGACCAGAGTAAAATCAAGATTTTATTACTCTAAAGAACAGAGGAAATAGTGGGTAGAAATTCACAGTCTGTGCTATATTTATTCTGTTCTCTTTGGTGGTTTTGTGGGAAATGCCATCCAACCATTAAAAATAATGAATGAGAGTTCTCCCAGTTGACTTTAGGCATGTGTGGGTAGTTCCACGTGGATTGTCAAATGAGAAAAGCAAAATGGATAAAGTGTAAGATATTTCTTTTTTGCGTAACAGAAACTGTATTTATACATGTATGTACATGTGTATGCATATGATATGTGAACATGGAATCATTACAGAAAGATATAATCCATTATCCATGTAATGGAAGAGGGAATGAACAACTTTTAGTTGTCCCACTTGTTATAATAGGCATGCATTATTTTTAATTTGGGAAACAAAAAACATTTTGTTAAATATGACACCTCTAGCTATCTAATGTATAATAAACCCTTTCTGACACATACACAATTTCACAGTAAGGCGGTTCTCAATAGAGTCTATCCTACAGCATCTTTGCAAAGAATTTAATAGGACATCAATACAAAGCAATTTACCTACCTTGTTATAAAATATATATTTAGTTAAATCATTTATTTAGAAAGTGAGTTAGCTGCATAATTTAGTAAGAGCTAATAAATTCTTTTTGTGAATTCATTTTGAGCTAATGAATGTTACCAAATGCTGATAAATATCCAGATATGAATATAAAGTAAAATAACATCACAATAGATACCTTAGTTGAATTCTCTAATGTTTATGAAATTAAACAAAATCATACTTAACATTTATGAAATGAAACAAAATAACCTTTATGATTTGTGTTTAATTTCTACCTATTTCATTCCAATTAGGCCATGACTATTTCATGAAAAGCCCTATTTGGGAATTAGTCACAGCCTTCAAGAACAACTCATTCTCATGTCAATTTGGCTTCATCAAAACTTCATGAGGAGAAAAATCTTCAAAACCATGTAAAACAACATCACATTGTAAAGCATATTTGATCCAGACATTATGAAAAAGAAAAACAAATTAGTCCTCTACCTACCTCAGCCGAATGTAAATGTCTACTTGGCATGGAAAACGTTCAGAGTAGAGACCATGAAAGAAGCTTAACACTTAGCAATGCTAAGGTATTATTGTCCTGCACTGTAAAGTTAATTTTTCAACAATTATTAAAGTTTTTAATCATATTACAATAATTTTCAAATATTTTTATTGAAACTTACATCCAAAAAGTTTATTCAATAATGGCAGTATTTGGCTCTTACTTTGGTTGTGGCCAAATATTGATTTGCCATTTGACATCTGGACAGAAGTATACTGAGTGGACCATTTAATGCAAATATCAGACTAGAAAAACAGTATTTCTTTACTGCAAGAAGTCACTTGGGAACACTAATAAGCATAATAATGACCTAGGAGATTTTAATAAATGTCACTCCTCTTCCGGATACTGTATATACTTACTACCTGAGAAGTAGTTACTTAGCAGGTGGATGGAAGCGTTCAATAAGAAAAGAACAAAAAGATCAGATGCTGAGGCTGTTAAGTCTATAATACAATAAAATATGTGGAGGAAATCACCATGTAAGTTTTATTACAGTGTATTGTGATAATTGTTCTATTTTATTGTTATTATTAATTCCTTACATGACTAATTTATAAATCACACTTCATCATAGCTCTGTGTATATAGAAAATGACATAGTATATGCAAGATGCAGTGATAGCCATGTCAGGCATTCACTGGAGCATCGTGGAACTTGTCCCCTGTAGATAAATGCAACTACTATAGTTACCCTCTCCTATAACACTTGTTCTGCATCAGGAATGGGCATTTTAAACAAGAAAAAACTCTTTCAGAGCTTTTTTCTGTATGTCCTGGGATCATGTTTTAAGAAACACTGCAGTAATAAAAAACTATTTGAAACTTCATAATCACCATTTAAGCTGTCTTCATGTTTTCGTAATAAGGGTAGGTATGCAAACTGTTACTGTCTTATACACAGAGCTTAAAAATATTATCTATAGTTTAATAAATTAAAAAAATAACAAACTGCCACACCATTTTTTATATTAAAAAGTAGCTAAAGAAACTGTAAAAATGATAAAATAAAATCAGATCAGCAAAAAACAGTAGCTAAGGAGCTGGTAGTCAAATCTAGATAAACAGATGTATGCCTATTTTTTTAAACCTTCTAAGTGTTTTGCAAGGCTGGGAAAATATCATTTCTCTGTGGTGGGAGGACATTGAGGTTGGGGAGTTGGCCAATGGGGATAAAGGATTCAAACTGGAAAACAGTAAGCAATTATACTCAAGCACCATGAATCCAGGCCTACAATGACTTTTCAGTTAACAAAAGCAGCCATCCAAGTGATGTGCTGGGACTCAGGTCAGAGCCTAACATTAGCGAAAAGCTTAGCTAAATTTCATAAACCCATAAATTGAAATAAAACCCCAAATGCAAACAATACATTTCAATCACATTGTAAATCTTCTTTTTTTTCCCTGTGATGGCTCTTTCAATCTTTAGTCAAAACTGAATCTGGGACAAATTCCAGGCCAGGACAAAAATGCAAAATTCCATACTCCCCATTCTTCCATTGTTTTGCCTTGAAGTGGATACTCAGCAGTATCCACACTCTTCACTAATCAAATTGAGCAAGTAATTTCTGAACTATAAATCAGGTGTGTATTTTCCCACTATTAGCCTAATATGCAGTTTTCTTATATCAAAAACTATAGACATAATGAGTTTGTAAAACTGAACTAAACCTGCAACCAGTTGGATGAGACAGCTGAACCCTCTTGGGAAGTTGCCCAACTCAAACAGCTAAGTTGAGTGGCAGAACCAGGACCCAAGTGCAGGGATTCTACCTACTGAAAAATGAAATTCTTGACAGTTCTTCCAAAACACTGTTAGTTATTTAGGATGGCCTGAAGGTGAGAAGATACAAAATAGTGGGACCCTGTATCTTGAAATATGGCTTTCCAGTGGGATTCCTATCAGGGTGTAAAAGGACATGTGAACTTCTGGCAGGCGACCTAGAGTTCCATCTTGCTAGTAAACCACGTGCCTTTAGTAACCATGCTTCTTAATGCAAAAAGCACCCAGTAGAAACTCTATTTTTTTTTTCTTTTTGGTTAGGATATATTCGTTGTACAGGGGGGATTCACTGTGACAATTCCAAGTAGGCTTATATTGTACTTGGTTAGATTACCCCCACTGTCTACCCACCTCGACCTTCTTGTTACTTATTGTAGCTGTCAAATATAGCTCCTTTTCTTTCCTCACTAGGGAGTTCTCAACATTAAAGGAAATAATATACAGTAAATTGCATAGGACGGCGCCTGGAACATAGTAAGGCTCCATATTATTGTTAATTATTGTCTACTTCCAGTCATTTAGGGATAACGAAGTAACAAGCTAAAGTTACTCCTCCTCACGACTGCGCATGTGCGTCCCCGCGAAGACTCGCGCACCCAAGTGTTTTCCCGCGCAAGCAGAAGCGCTGTTTCCGAGAATCCGCCCCTTAAGGCGCGAACGCCGTGACCCAAGCGGGCGCTGGTCTGGGAGTGACGTAAGCAAGGGGGCAGGCCTGGGTAACGGGGCCGTTTGCTTCCGGGGCCAAGGGATTTCATTTCCGGGAGAAACCGGCGTTGCTATTACCAAGGCATGTGTAAGGCTTCCACTGTCGCTTCCTGGTCCGGTGGTCCAGGTCCGAGTTAGCCAGGCATGAAGATCACCAGGCAGAAACACGCCAAGAAGCATATTGGCTTCTTTCGAAACAATTTCGGAGTCCGCGAGCCCTACCAGATCCTGCTGGACGGCACCTTTTGTCAGGCGGCGCTGCGGGGCCGCATCCAGCTGCGGGAGCAGCTGCCCCGCTACCTCATGGGGGAGACGCAGCTGTGCACCACCAGGTGGGCCCGGCGGGTGTGGGAGACCGACGCCACGGCTCCCAGGCCTCCTTTGCAGCACACGAGGTGCAGAACGCCCGCCCACGGGAGTTGAAAGTTAGTGGAGGCTCAGGGAATTAAGGCAAGCATCTTCAGTGTGGGCAAATTGTACAGTGCTCAGCAAATATCACGTGGCTTTATCCTGGAGAATGAGCACAAGTGTTTGTGGTCAGGTGGACCTGGTTCTGAATCCTGGTCCCGGTTTTACCTGCTTTGTGATCTCGGGCAAGTTATTCAACCTCTCTGAGTCTCAGATAGCTTAGTTGGAAAATAGAGGTCATAAAACTTCTTACAAGGTAGCTGTAAGGTCAAGGTTGCTCTAGTGTAGAGCATTTTTTTGGTATCCCAAACCTACCCCTCTTAAATAGTTGCTGTTATTTGCACAGCTTTTCTAGTTTACAACAAAAATTTTCAAGCCTCACAACTGCCCTTTGAGGTAGGTAGCATCTTTGATTCCCAGGAAAAGAAGTCTAGACTGGAGATTTAAGTGCCCAAGGCCATTCATTTATTCAGCTCTCCTTATTAGCAATCAGATGCTAAGCACTGCATTGCTGAATTTACATTAGCGTACAGGACAAAATCTCAGCCCTTGTGACCTGTGAGGTGCATAAGTCAACTTTTAATGAGTGTGCTTTCATTGAATGTTTCCCCACTTCATCGTGTGTAGGTACATTTAGGGTGGAATGGTGTAGGAATTCGAAGGAAGAGATAGGAAGGAAAGAGAATTACAGATTTCCATTCATTTGTTCATTTCTGAGGGTAAGAGCTATTTGAAGACCTCTTAAACAAATGGAGTTGTGGAATGCCTGGGTAAGAGGTTACAGCACAAAACAGGGTTTGAAATGAAGGTAAGGAAAAGGTAAGTTGAGGATAGATCATGAATTCAAGTTATAATAAAGTCAGAGCTCTTTTCATTGTAGAGTATTTTTTCATATAATGGTATTAGTACAGTTTGATATACTTTCAAAATATTTTCAATTCGGAGTTGACCAAAATCAACTCTTATACATGACACTGTGAAACATTGGCTTATACGAACATGAAAAATCCAGATTAAAAAGCTTAAACATCTTGATGACTTCAGAATTTTTTCTTTTCTGAATTGAAAATATTTTGAAAGTATATCAGATTGTACTTGAAGTTTATTACACTGGTTGGGGCAAGTGATCTGTTGCCTTATACCATTGTTGTCTGAATGTGGGCATGTTACTTGAAATTTATCAGAATGGTGTGCTAAAATGGGGATAAGCTACCTAACTTCATAGATTATTTTGAGATTAAACCAGAATGTATATAAAGAGCCATTTGCATGCCACCTGGCAGATTATAACTGCTCAGTAAATTTTATCATTCATATTGTTCTTTTCCTTTGGTGCATGCATTTCAAGTATTCTTTTAAAAGTAAAATGGGTACTGTATGACACATTTAGATTGTAATGGTATAGCTTTATGTTTAAAAACTTGAGCATTCTGTTTTATACTTATACAAGCAAAAGAAATGTATCTTACGATTGTGGGTCACTAAAAACTTTTTTTTTTTTTTATCGCTTCTCGGCCTTTTGGCTAAGATCAAGTGTAAAAACTTTTTTTTTTCTCCAGATGTGTGTTAAAGGAATTAGAGACATTGGGAAAAGAATTATATGGAGCAAAACTGATTGCACAGAAATGCCAGGTTCGAAATTGTCCCCATTTCAAGAATGCAGTGAGTGGATCAGAATGTCTGCTTTCCATGGTTGAAGAGGGAAATCCCCACCATTATTTTGTGGCAACACAGGTAATATTACTTTTAACACCATGAGTCAGTATTAATGATATCTATGTAAAATTCATATAGAATTATTGATAATTAGAAAAACTTAACATGGAGTGATTTGTTAGTGGTTCTTTTTTTTTTTTTTTTTTTTTTTGCAGTACTGGGGTTTGAATTCAGGGCCTACACCTTGAGCCACTCCACCAGTGATAGGTTTTTGTGATAGGTTTTTTCGAGATAGAGTTTCCCAAACTGTTTGCCAAGGCTGGCTTCAAACCATGATCTCTCCTGATCTCTGCCTCCTGAGTAAGTAGGATGACAGGTGTGAGCCACTTGTGCCCAGCTCAGAGTATCTTTGACTAGACACAAGAGAAAGCTACTAACTTATTTACATTTGCATTAGTTTATAATTCATGGTGCTAGAATACTGATAAAATTGTTTCAAACTGCTGCTACTTACTCTGTTTGGGTCAAGTTTTTGTGTTTTTCTTCCTTTATCATGAAGTGTACTACAGTAGTGAGACATACTCATTTAAGAAAACACAGTCTTTTTTTTTTTTATTGTTTTATTCATATGTGCATATAAGGCTTGGGTCATTTCTCCCCCCTGCCCCCACCCCCTCCCTTACCACCCACTCCGCCCCCTCCTTCTCCCCCCCACCCCCTCAATACCCAGCAGAAACTATTTTGCCCTTATCTAATATTGTTGAAGAGAGAGTATAAGCAATAATAGGAAGGAACAAGTGTTCCTGGTTGAGATAAGGATAGCTATACAGGGAGTTGACTCACATTAATTTCCTGTGCGTGTGTGTTACCTTCTAGGTTAATTATTCTTGAGCTAACCTTTTCTCTAGTTCCTGGTCCCCTTTTCCTATTGGCCTCAGTTGCTTTTAAGGTATCTGCTTTAGTTTCTCTGTGTTAAGGGCAACAAATGCTAGCTAATTTTTTAGGTGTCTTACCTATCCTTACCCCTCCCTTGTGTGCTCTCGTTTTTATCATGTGTTCAAAGTCCAATCCCCTTGTTGTGTTTGCCCTTGATCTAATGTCCACATATGAGAGAGAACATACTGCCCTTGATGTAATGTCTACATATGAGAGAGAACATAGGATTTTTGGTCTTTTTGGCCAGGCTAACCTCACTCAGAATGATGTTCTCCAATTCCATCCATTTACCAGTGAATGATAATATTTCATTCTTCTTCATGGCTGCATAAAATTCCATTATGTATAGATACCACATTTTCTTAATCCATTCGTCAGTGGTGGGGCATCTTGGCTGTTTCCATAACTTGGCTATTGTGAATAGTGCCACAATAAACATGGGTGTGCAGGTGCCTCTGGAATAACCTGTGTCACAGTCTTTTGGGTATATCCCCAAGAGTGGTATTGCTGGATCAAATGGTAGATCAATGTTTAGCTTTTTAAGTAGCCTCCAAATTTTTTTCCAGAGTGGTTGTACTAGTTTACATTCCCACCAACAGTGTATGAGGGTTCCTTTTTCCCCACATCCTTGCCAACACCTGTTGTTCGTGGAGAAACACAATCTTTCATCTTTTATTTTTAATACTTCTCTCTTTAAGTTCTTACAAACTTATTTAAGGCAACTTAATTGATATATTTGAACTAAATAATTCTGTTTTTCTTTCCTAACAGGATCAAAATTTATCTGTGAAAGTAAAGAAAAAGCCTGGGGTTCCTCTCATGTTTATTATCCAGAACACCATAGTCTTGGACAAACCTTCTCCCAAAACAGTTGCCTTTGTTAAAGCAGTGGAGTCAGGTCAGCTTGTCTCAGTGCTTGAAAAACAAAGTATCAAGCAGCTCAAAGAGGAACAGGGTTTAGTAAAAAACCCCGAACAGAGAAGAAGAAAAAAGCGCAAGAAAGTAAGTGGCCCTAATCCTCTTAGCTGTTTGAAGAAAAAGAAAAAAGCACAGGACACAAAATCACCTGCTTCTGAAAAGAAAAGAAAAAGAAAAAGGATCCGGAACCGATCTACCTCAGAAGTATTTTCCGAGAAGCAGAATGTGGAAGGATAATCAGTGCTTTGGGTACTTTTAAAGACATTCAGATGTGAAAAGTGGATTTACTTTTAGAACTGCAGAGAAGTATTTACAATACAAGACTAAACTGAGCTGGGTGCCAGGGGCTCACATCTATAATACTAGCTACTCAAGATGCAGAGATCAGGAGGATCACGGTTCGAAGCCAGCCCAGCCAAATAGTTCTTTGAGACCCTATTTTGAAAAACCCTTTACAAAAATAGGGCTGGTGAGTGGCTCAAGGTGAATGCCCTGAGTTCAAGTCCTAGTACCACCAAAAAAAAAAAAAAAAGACTAAACTTGTAAATGAAAGGCCATATGCTTTTGCCTAAAGTCACTTAACGAAATAAAAAGTCATTTGGTTTAGATGTAATAGGATTCATTTTTTTAAAGTCGTTTTGAAAGGTTTCTCATTGTAAAATTGTCTCCTGACTTGCCCCCCATCTCACACTCCATGTGTTACATGCAAACAGTTTTGAAAAATCAAACAATTCTAAAAGGCTTGTGACAAAAAAAAGGGTCTGTGATTATAGGTATGTACCACCATGCCCACCTGTAGAAATACATATCTTTGTTGAACTAATAATACATCAAAACACAGGATGCTTATTTGAAAATCATTTTTCCTTAACATTCTTTTGTTTACGAGGTGCTGGGAAAAAAGTGCCTTTACCATTTTTCAGTTCCACTTGTCTTGTAGGATGATGATTTCCTTTTAGATGTACCTGTTAACTTCAATAGTGAAAATTCCCAAACAATGGTTTCTCTACGATTAAATATTTTATTTATTTTTGGTGGGAATGGGGTTTGAACTTAAGACTTAATGCTTGCAGAACTGGCACTCCACCACTTAAGCCACACTTCCACTCCTTTTTGCTTGGATTATTTTGGAGATTGGGTATCATCAACTATCTGCTAGGGCTGCCCTCAAACCTCGATCTTCCCAATATCATATTCCCAAGTAATTAGGGTTACAAGCCTGAAGAAGCCTGAGCTTCCAGTGACCAGCTTGAATATGTTATTGAAAAGTGTCCAAACTACTATAAGGGGCAAATGAATTAGGAATTGAATAACTAAACTTGTCTCTTTCAGCTTCCCCCTGCCTTCCAGTGTTTTATTCATCTCTTGGGCCAGAATTCATGTTTTTACACTGTAAGATTGAAGTATAAATTTACTGGAAAAGTGAAGTCTGATAAGGAGCTCATGAGTGGTTTCTTTTGACAAATTGGAACAGTGGTTCTTAATCTATACTGTTGGTGTTATAATTGTGTGAAGTAGATGAGTAAGTTCTTATTAATGGCTAAAATTAAGTGTTTCTTAAATGTGAAACAATTTAAACTCCTACAGAAATGTTACTCTTAGTTGAATTCAGAAATGGTTCTTTGGTGAACGTGAAGTTACAGCTTTACACTGGGGAGTAATGCATTATATAGCAAGTAATGTATTATATAGCAAGCCATGGTAGTGTTTGGGTTGTAATTTCATGATTCTGTTTTAAATTCTTGACAGGAACTTTCTTTTTCTTTTTTTGGGTACCTAGGTTTGAACTTGGCTTTGCTCTTGCAAAGCAAGTGTGGCTTGAGCCACATCTCCAGTTCATTTTTGCTCTGGTTATTTTGGAGATGGGGCCTTAGGAACTATTTGCTTGGGCTGGCCTTGAACTGTGATCCACCCAGTCTCAGCCTCCCATGTAGGCACCACCAGTGCATGGCAGAACATTTTTGATACTGGAAAAAAGTGAATATACTTCTGTAGTTCTTAAGTAAAAAGATGACATCTGTCAATAATGAGAGGATTACCTAATCAAATAGATAAAGTGCTAAAGCAGATGAAAAGTACAGTGATGAAATTTATTCAGTACCATCTGATAATAATGATATTAACAGTGCCTATTAATAATGGCTGTGAATTTTATGTATTTTCCTGGCAAAATTTTAAGGATATTTTAGCAAAAGAATCTTATATCCTTATACTATAATTCTTTAATGAATATTACATTTATACCACCACTGCTAAAATCCTTAGCAAATATAGGTCCCAAGTCTGCTCCTTAAGGACTTTGTGAGTAAGGTTAAAAAGGAGGGAAATAAAGACTCTGTTAGATGCTTATAATGCAACAAGTGTTTGGTCATTTAACTCTAGAAACTGTCTTATAAAACATACATAACTAGTATTAGCGCCCCCCCCACACACCCCCCAAAAAACCAAAAAGCTTGCTTACTATAGCTCTCTGTATTGGTCTCTCATTGTCAGAGACCCAAAACACTACTGTTCCACATTTTAATTTTGTTATTTTGATTCAATTACTAGTCCCCCATTCAAGTTGGGGGTTATGGTGGTCATGTGATAAATAGAGTTACAGGTTATGTTTGAATCCAGAGTGTTGTAGGTTTGTGAGCACATCATGTTTTTCTCCCCACTTTCAAAATATAGAATTATTGGGCATACTTGGCCACTGGTCATGTCCTATATTGATTCTCTTTCATTTATAGACTAGCTCATTAGGGTAGGAAAAGTCAAGTGGAAGCTGTAAGATCTTCAGATCAGGAGAGTAAGCCAAAAGAAGAATCATCAGAAGAATTGCAGAGGTCACTACCATCATGATATTCTTGAATGAGGCTGAAGTGTTGATTATTGTTCTATCTCTATTTAATGTATCTATTAGGCTTGGGCAGAAATCAAATGGATGTTAAAATGTAATTCATTTATTTTAGTATTAATCTGGTAACTCTGGCAGCCATTTTTCCAAGTGTATTTTTGCCAGAAGAAATCAACACAGCTCCTGACACCTAATATGGAAAGTGCTTCCCGAGCACATTCACTCTCTAGCTCTATGCGTATGGCAGCTCACCAGTTCTCAGCCATGATACAGTCTGTAGCGATCTTGATCATCTTATCATTGCACCCAGAAAATGTTAACGAGCTCACTACATTGATGACATTACAAAGTACCAATTACTATAAATGTTTTATTCCAGCTTTATGAATAAACTTGAGAGTGGGAGATATCCTTTATCAAAAGTCAGAAATCAGGCACCTCTGCTATGCACACATCACTTACAGTGCCGGTTTAGAGCCAGTACTCAAAAAGCATGGAGATTCTATCATATAAGATGCAATATCAGCTTTGAATCAGCCACCAATCTATGGTGTGTTTCTCCCATAGCCAGAATACATGGATGCAAGAATTAAGGGGTGCAAGTAGGAATAGTTCTCACTATTACAACTTGTAACCTACTTAGAAAATTTTTGCTTTCTTCCCCCAAGACTGAGCTCTGTTTGTGTGATGATCTTGTTCCCAAAGGAGGAATACTTCTACCATGAGCACAACAATAATTTTATTGATTTGGAAGGTGATACTACTACCAGCTAATATGGGGTTACTTATATTTTGAACCAATAGGCAAAGAAAGGAGTTATTCTACTAACTGGGTTATTGATCCAATTTCCAAGAGCAAATTGGATTGCTGCTACAGGATGTCAGTACAGAGGACTATTTCTGGAATCTAAGACTTTCCAAGATGCGTCTTAGTATTTCTATGTCCAATAGTAAATGTTAATAGAAAGCTATTTCAAAGAAAAGGAGGCTGAGCTAGTGGGTATTCAAACCCTTCAAGAATGAAGACTCGTGTTACCTCATCTATTAAAGAGTAAGCAAGGTTCTGGCTGAGATCAAAGGAAACATGGAATGAATTGTGTACTAGCCAACCTCTAAGGTGATTTTTACCTTCTTGTGTTTGTGAGCTTGTGTATCCACTCCCACACTAGATAGACTGACCCTAATCAACAGGATATTAATGTGGAAATAGTGAGGTGTAACTTGTGATGTGGGATCATAAAAACGTGGCTTCTATCATTCACTTTTGCTGTAGGTTAAGTTAGCACCCATGTAAGGATATGTAAGTAGCCCAAGGAAATAATCTGTAGGGAAGAAAGGAAGCCTCCTGTCAACAGCATCAATTTACCAGCAATATAAGTGACTCGTCTTAGAAGATCTTGTAGCCCCCTCAAGTCTCCTGATGACTGCAGTATCAGCCAATGGTTGACTGAACTCATGAGAGGTAGAACCACTCAGTTAAGCCACTTGACCCACAGAAAATATGTGAGATAAATATATGTTGTGAGTCACTAAATTTTAGGGTAATTTGTTATATATCAATAAGTAACTAATATAATTGTGAAGAAGGAAGTTTAAAATATCACCTATAACCGTCTGAGTACTTACATAAACTATGCCTAACACCTATGAATATTTTTCCTTATGTGTATATGTATCTATTTCTATATGTATGTAATAGACATGTACATCTGCACACTATGTTTACACATGTATATAATGTATATATTATACATGCAATATATATCATACATGTACTATGTTCTTCTCTTTCCTTCTTTTCCTGTATTTACTGAGTTATTTTTATTGGGTTTTTTTTTTTTGCTTTGTTTTTGAGATTCACTTTACAACTTAATTCTGTTGCCACTAATTGTAATCATTTTCAGGTGGGACTAAGACTGAAATTTTGGTATCAGCACAGCTCAGATAGGTACAATGGTTATCAGAACTCTGCACCTTCTCATTTGGGAAATAAGGTAAGAATATTTTCATTTGTATGAAAGATGGTTGCATCATGTTCAGTGAAACAGTGTTGTGTGAAAGTTTAAAGTATAGAAGGGTGCTTATGGAAGCTGAGTAGATAAAGAAGTGGACTGTGTCAGCTCCCAGCCCAGCTTTCTTTTTTAGTTTAAGTACATTTTAATTTTTAATTGATACACAGTAATTGTACATATGTGTGGAGTACAGTATGATATTTCAATGCATGTAAATAATGTGCAATGATCAGAGTAGGGCGATTGGCATATCTATCACTTCAGACATAAAAAAATTTCTTTGGGTTGATAACATTTAAAAATCCTTCTTACTAGCTATTTTGAAATTTAATTCTACTGTGATAAATAACATTAGAAGTTTTTCCTCTTATTCCACTACATCCCTGTAGCCATTAACTATTCTGTGCCTATCCCTTACCCCCCCTCCATCTTCCCAGGCTCTGGCAATCACTATTGTATTCTCTAGTCTTTGAGATCAACCTGTAACTTTTACATATAAGTGAGAATGTATGGTACTTGACTTTCTATGCCTGACTTATTTCACTTAACAC